CTTACCTCCCCCTCATGAGCCGCCCCCAAAAATAGGTTCCCATGAGCCTACAGTGCGTTAATATCTCTCATCTGCATACATCCACCCCTCCCCCATGCATTCGTATCTGAATAGCTAGAATGCTAGTATTCGATCATTGAATATGATTAGATAGTTTACATAATACAATTATTGAGGATATACATACATATTTAAATCCTATACATATACAGGGCATATATTTATATATGTGGAATTCAAATCAGTTCCAATGTTGGACCATTTTTTAATGCTGAATATGCAGTAGATAAAAAAGTATATGTAAGAATTGCGTGAATTAAAATTGACGCTAAAAAGATTTTAAAAAAATAGATTTTTTTTCTATCCTGTTATCTCTGTATCCTATCCTAGTGGCTTTGTGGCCTGCATCCTTTCCTTGAAGCCCTGTATCCTTTGGCCTATAGTCCTGTATCCTTTTGCGTATAGTCCTGCATCCTTTTGCTTGTAGCCCTGTGTCTTTTTTGCATCACTGTATCCTGTCCGTGGGTCCCTGTATCCTTTCCTTGTAGCCCTGTATACTTTCATTGTATCTCTGTATCCTTTCCTTGAAGCCCTGTATCGTTTTCTTGTAACCCTGTATCCTTTCCTTTAAGCCCTGTATACTTTTCTTGTAACCCTGTTTCCTTTCCTTGTAGCCCTGTATCATTTCCTTGTAGCCCTGTATCATTTCCTTGTAGCCCTGTATCCTTTCCTTGTAACCTTGTATCCTTTCCTTGTAGCCCTGTATTCTTTCCTTGTAGCCCTGTATCCTTTCCTTCTATTATTGTATTCTTTCCTTGTAGCTCTAGTTGTATCCTTTTTGTACCCATGTATTCTTCCTTTTATTGAAGCCCTGTATCTTTTTCTTGTAGCCCTGTATCCTTTCTTTGTATCTGTGTATACTTTTCTTGTATTCTTCTATCCTTATATCCCAGTTTAAGAAACAAAACCTATCTAGAAAGGAAAAGGTTGAGATCTACTATAACAGAATGTATTCACATGACAAGGACTGATTTTGAAAACGTCTATACACAATTTAGATTGAACTGAATTGTTGCTTTGTAAAGCAAAACGTGGAGCTAAATATGTAAATAGGCATTCCTTGCACTAAGCTTCAAATGATATGCATGCTTTTTTACATACGATATCAGTAAGCGGTGTGGGAAAACTTCTAGAAATTAATATATCAGAATGGATAAAAAAGTGGAAGGTTTCAATAGAGAAATCCAGAGCAGGACGTTTTTTCTCCGATCTGTAGCCGTAGCTTTGAAGGAACTGATTGATTTTTATGCGAGTGGAAATTTTGAAAAGTGCGACAAAAACTGATTTGGCAATTTGAATTTGAAAGAATATGAAATTTGATTTAAATATCAAACTGTGATATTATGCAACACAAAGTTTTTTCTTTGGAGAAACCCGTTTTTGGATTAAAGTGAATTGAACATTTAACCGACAAATCATTTAAATTCTGGATTCTAGATTGTAAAATTGCCAAACAAGCTCGGTAAAAAATATCAGATTCATAAATGTTGATAAGAATCTTATTCAAAATATTTGGCGGGAAAGCAGAACTAAAATAAAACACTAAGGACATAAAATGATTATTTGATTAGCTTTAAACTATTGGATTTCATTTTCCCCAATTATTGGGATAAAAACATGTCAATTCAAACTTTTTTTGTATTTTCTTTTTGTTGCAGCATGCGGGAAGGTTATCCTTGTAATTGGAGAGGTTTTTGCGACTATTATCCTGGTGGTGCGAAGTTGTCGCAAGCCGACTTTTTCCGTAGAATATTAATGTTGAGATTTTTGGCGGTATTATTCCAATCACGGCCCGGGGGATTGCGCCGGGTTTCTCCGGGGCGCGGAAATGGTTTCCCCGGGGTTGGGGGAGGATTTCCTAGGGTGGGGTATGTTCCCCACCCCTGCCTATACTGTCCTTTACTCCCACGGGACACCTGCAACAAGTAGCGCGTCCCCCCCGGGAAACCATGTGACGTCATCCTGACGTCACACATATGATCCCATGGGAGTCGGGGATTGAACCCCCCACTTGTCCTCGAACAGTGAGTACGTGAGCAGGGTTTAGCATCCACAGCACGTAATTTTAGAACACTCTAAGAGACTAAACTTTTGACAAGGGATGAATACTAAGTAGAGATACATAGTGAGATATTCATATTCAGAGATATCAACGGACGGAAACTAATTTCCCGGATTTACCGCTTTGAGTTAAAAAAAATTAAACATGGCTCTTTTGGACACTCCACAGGCTATGTACGGCAGTATGAGCTCTCCGTACTTGATGCAAAACCCGTACAGCCGGGTACAAGGCTACTATAGAGATTACGAACAGGAGACAATTGCAAGGTTGAATATACATCAAAGGTTACAAGTTTCTCCGGAATATTCGTCCCGCTCCGTCAAGGAGGAGTTTGGAACAGCTTTCAAACCTTACAGTCCGGGTCAAGAGAACCTTCCAACTCAGACAAACAATCATTCCAAGGTATTTACAACGTTGCTAAAGATTCCTAGCACCTTATTCTCACGTAGGTTTAAAAGGGTTTGGAGAATTTTACAGGGGGGTTTCGTTCATTGTTTACTCAAGGAACTTTAATACCACGTCTCCGGTTTACTTGGTTAGGATTATGAATGGTGATGAGGGAGGGTTTGATGAGAAGGTAATCAAGGTAATCAAGGTAATGATGATATCTTCCTCGCGGTCCTGCCTAGTCCCGTCTCATTAATATCTGCAAGCAAAGCCTGAGAACTGTTGAAACTGCAGAAACTGCGCAAACTCTAATTTTTCTATCATTAACGTAGTGTGCCGGGGGGGTAACCTGGTTCAAGGAGAGAAATGTTAACTCAAAACCTGCGGATATCCGATCAACCAATAATCTGTGCAAAATACGTGTAGCGCCGGTTAGAATTTGAAAACTGTTTTTGTCCTAAAGTGAAACTAAGTTTATGAATAGAGTTATGTAGGAGTGAAAGGATGGAAGATAGGAGACACTGTTTTTACCAATACCCGTAAAAGTCAGGTTCAGGTATTCACAAAATACTATGATAGGACGGAGGGACAAAAACCCCACTAAGATCCACAAAAATCCTCGGATTTCTCTTTTTCTACAATAAATTTAGCAAATATAGGACAGAATTATCTTGCTGGATACATGTTTATATCTTTATTCGGTCCGATATAGCTGCACCGTCCTTCTCCATCAGATCTTTCTAAATAGAACCGAGTTTTACAGGATGATAAGGTTTAGGTTTATCAGGGTGTGGGTGTGGGGTTGGGATGGGATTCATTTAATGAAAGAATGTTTCTTGAAGGTAGATCTTATCCCCGGGTTTATGAGGAAAATAACTTGAAGTTTAGATTTGAATTTGGCAAGTTTTTGCCAAATAAAAGAACCAATGTGTTGATATTTGGAGAGACAAAGTGATATTTCTTGACATAAACTTGGATAAACAAATGTATCCTGGGATTCAGCCAAGGTTGAAGAGAGATCTTTCATTCCTTGATCTTTTAGAGTTATAGAAGACAATTTGCGAGTTCAAATCCTAGTCAGAAGTTTGAAATCTTTCATCCCTTCCTATCAAGTTTATCCATTTATTGAACGAATTCAAGATTCGATCTAAACTTGTTCATTTCAATCATTGTTCTCTGGTGTGATTTTACTCCATACAGGACGGATCATAGTTTCTCCGGGTTCTAGTCTTTAAAGAGTTCAAAGTTAACTAGGGATTGATATCAGGGAATCTTGAGTCCAACTTTAGTTTAATTCAACGTTGGATTAAGGATTAAGGATTTAGGACCCTACCTGGATATTTTAGAAGATTCACGATTGTAGAATTTAACGGGAAAGATTGCTATCTTACAAATGTTTGGTGTGTCGATATATTCCGGAAAGTTTATTTGTGTGTCTGCAAGGTGAAGTGTGTGTATGTTACCCCAAACTATGAAACCAAGCTAAAAAATATAAATTTATGTGTGAATCAGGTTTCCAGTTATCTGTAAAATTACAGATACTGCTTTCATCTCGTATTCAAGGTTTCCCCTCTCTCCCCCCCCACATCCCTCTGTGCCCCCCACCTCTTCGTAAGCATTATATTTCATTGAAAAATGAGTTTTGGGGGAAGGGAGCTAAATTCCCTAAAACTGTGAACTGGAATGAAAAGAGGGGAGAAGGAGGGTGCAGGAAAGAATGATTTTTTGAAGATAAGGAGAAAAGGGTCCATATTTTAACTATTATTTATAACTTTAATTTATGCATGTTTCCTAAAACATTTACATTAACATACAGAACTTAAGCAGAGTCTACGAACGGAACATAAGAATTGAAATTACTCCGGGTTGTAGAAATAGTACTGTAGTTGAGTAGGGTAGAGAAACCTTATACTGTAGAGGGGCTCTTCTCATTCTTCTCAATAATAGGTTTCTTCCTTGAACCTTGAGACATGGAGATATTCCTTTTATACCCCTCAGTTGGATCTTCCTTTTCTTTAACATATCAATAAAATATGGAATCCTTTGTATTTTCAATTTTTCAAGACATTCTCAAGATAACAGTATAAAATATATGTACTCTTTGTATGTTAATATATGATATCTGATTATTTACAATATATATAAAACCCCCCTGCATGGTTGTATATCTATATATCTATCTATACTCAATGAACCACCGTAAATCAAGCCAAGAAAAGGTTAACGGTTTATCAGCAATATCTTTAAAACTTAGCTCAGACCTGGAAAGGGAACTTGTAATAATTGCCTCCCCTCCCCCCTCCCCTCAACCTTCCTCCTCATCTCTTCCTCCACCTTCCCTCTCACCCCCTCCCCTCAACCTTCCTCCAAACCCTGTTCCACAGTTCTCAATGATTAATTTACCTCCCCTCGCGTATAAATCACAGAACCCGGCAATTTTACGGAAAGGAAGAAGAATTAAAATGAGTTTAACCAATCTTTTGTTTTTCAGGTTTTTGCTTCTAAAGCTGATCTCCAGCTCCACACACAGGTTCATATGAGAGAACCTAAACCCTACAAGTGCAGTCAGTGCAGTAAATCCTTCGCAAACAGTTCATATCTTTCTCAGCATATGAGGATTCACCTTGGTATTAAACCCTACAGATGTGAGATCTGCCAGAGAAAGTTTACCCAGCTCTCTCATCTTCAACAGCACATCAGAACACATACCGGAGACAAACCATACAAGTGCAGGCATCCAGGCAAGTTATTAAAATTGTTGTTTTCATGTTTCTTAGATCAGAATTCTAAATATTCAATGTTTCCAAACATAATGATGTTTAAGGAAATAAAAGATTTTAATATGAAAATGTTACAGGTTGCACTAAAGCGTTCTCTCAGCTGTCCAACCTGCAGTCCCACTCCAGGTGCCACCAGACGGATAAACCCTACAAGTGCAACTCCTGCTACAAATGTTTCCATGACGAAACCTCCCTGCTTGAGCATATCCCCAAGCATAAGGAGTCTAAGCATCTTAAAACCCACATCTGCTCCTACTGTGGGAAGAGCTACACCCAGGAGACCTACCTGGCTAAGCATATGCAGAAGCACTCTGACAGGTCGGATAAACGTCCACCAATTGTAGCAAGCGGAACTTCAAACACCCCTGCAACTATGGGTCATCTCAGTGGGCTACCCAGCCCCTCTGAGCACTATTGGCAGAAGATGGACGCATACGGTTACGGACATCAGCTTATGGACCAGAGACTTCATGATCCTAGAGATTATGATCCTCGTGGTATTCATCCAGGAGCAGGAGCTCATCAAGGTCTCATGGGAGAAGATCTCCGTCATCACAGTGGTCATCTTTCCACCTCCTGGGGCGAGCACTCCTCTCCCAGTCCTAACTCTGGTAAAACAAGTTCTGCATTCTCTCCTCTCCAGTCTGGGATGATCCCGTCTTCTCCAGGGTTCGGTATGTCAGGACATAGAGGATATGCAGCGTTCTACGATCCAATCTCATTTTCACAAGCTCAGAATAAAGTCAGCTTTGGAGAACCCTCAACCAGTGTATCTAACTCTTTCTCTGGACCCCAGCTTCTCTCACTCTCCAAGATCAAGAACTACGCCCACAATCCTCACAACGATGGATTGTTCAAGTCTTTGTCAAGCTTATCTCAGGATAAAGGTCACCTTGGACAGCTCGGAGCTGCTCAGTAAGCCTAGCATTGAGTATGTCAGGAAACCTGGTTCCGAACAGCTCAGAAAACCCGGGATTAAGCAACTTTTTAAACCTAGGATGGAGTATATAAGTACACCTAGGATGGAGCAGCTCTGCAACTTAGAACGGAGAATGTAAGCAAACCTAGAAACAAAACCTGAATCCTCGTTTTTAGTCCAGATATCCTGCATCAGTCCGCGGGAGGATCTGGAGCAGACCGGAGAAAGGTTTGCAAAAACTTGAGGAAATCCGGTAAAAACTATTCTAAGAGTTTTGGAGAGGGTTCGGAGTCTTCTTACTCCGGGTTCAATCTACAGGGTGTGTACAGCATAAACTATTCTGCAACTATTGTATTTATTTTCGTGTCCCCGAGACGTTAAAATTATCTGGTGAAATTCAACATTATGAGCTTTAAAAGCCAATTCGGCTTTTTAAGTCCTTCATTCGCGGACTCTAAATTTTCACAAGTGTCATGAAAGCCAAAAGAGACGAATTTTAGACGGTTTAAAACCGGTTCTAAGAACAACAAACAATCTCGAAAATCAATCAAATAATCAAAGCAGTGATCATACGTAATTATTTGTTCATCGTAATATTTTAAGTAAGCCTATTGTATCCAATGTATCTACGTAAACAAATGTATCCAAAAATCCAATAGCTCAATTCAACGACTGAATTTAAACCTCGTATTTCCACCTAGTTCATTCAACCAAATACATACATATTGGATTCAGCTTGTGTAAATAAACATTATATAAATATTCTATATTATATACTATATTAGGTAAAACATAGATTGGAATCTGATTTAGATTCAGCAGCTTTTTAATTTTGTATTACATGGTTTGGTTTGGGACATCATATCACAAATTGACTCGTTTTAGGTCAAACCAAACCAACGTGGCTAATTTCAATTCGGCGTTAATTTGCAAAGCTCAGCTATTTCATGTTTTTCTTAATTCTTTGCTCTGCAGTTTATTCTCGGGCCAAACCTTGGAGGTTTTTAAAAAAATGTTAAGTCAAGACTCTGTGTTCATCTTCTTGTTAAATCTTGCTTTTTCATCATAAAATGTTAATATTAGATTTAGGGTTTCGACTGGAGTAAATTTAAACTCAGTCAATCCCTCTCTCCGCTCCACTCTCTCCGTCTCAACCCGGGTACAGTTTAAATCCATACCAGATATTTGAAGATTGAACCTGGATCTCCGGGTAGGGGTTTAGAGAGGGTGGACAGGAGAATACAATGTTCCTTAAACCTAACAGATGTGATATACGGCCTTATTCTGTGTTCCTCTCCTGGGAACTAGTGGCGTCTCCTGATTACATCTTAGGATTTTTTAACATTTTCAATATTTTTACTATTTTCAATCTATCTTAGAAATGAAGTTGAGAGTTTTTTCAAATGATTGTTGGAAAAAGCCTGCTAGAAATAGTTGCCCCTTAATAAAGCCATCTTTAATCAGAGTTTTAGTTCTACAAGTGAAACTGGACTTAAGCTAAGTTTCAGAATGTAAAACTGTGAATTCTGAAAAGTTATGTTTTAAACATTTATGTAAAACTTTGTTAAAAGTTCTGGTTTCCAATGAATGTAGAATATTACTTTTATTACAAAACTAAATTGAAGCAGGAGCAAAAGTGAAATATTTTTTTAAAAGTTTAAACACCATTTAACCCATTTTAATCCAGACTGAACCCTGCTTGGCCCCCGGATCTTTTTTTCTGTGTACAATTCCGTACCCAGAGACAAAGATAAGACATATATATAAATATACATAGATCTCAATAGAATTCAGAAACATAAATATTCTATCTTTTTCTCTCTCTCTTAATGCTTCCGAGGATGAAAAAAATTAATTAGTTTAGTTTTCAAGTTCTCCCAGTTTTCCGACCCATTTCATGCTCTTATATATATATATAGATGTTTCTCAGTATAATTCTGTTCTGTAAGATACACTCATTGTTCAACCCTAGTTGGGTTCAAGTTCTTTTTTTAGAAACCCATTTCCTGTCTTCTCCTGACTTTAATATGTTTATCGTATCACTTTTTTGATAAAATAAACGGCTGTGAAATGGCTAAATACTTATTTTTATTATTGTAAGAGAAGTTTAGAGTTAAAAACTAAAAATCAATATCAGAAAAGTAGAGTAAGTAGAATGAATAGAACGATGAGATAAGTAGTATTAGACAAATGAGAGGAATGAATAGAATGAACAGGATGGGACATAGGGGAAGGATGAGGCGTATGAGCAGGATGAGTAGAATAAGATTGATAGGATCAGTATAGGATGGGTAGTATTAGACCCATGAGAAGAATGGATAGAATGAGCTAGATGAGATGTAATTAAAGTACCAGTAGCCAAAGCATTATAAATCATAAAATAGGATTTAATATATTGAAGGAGATCAGTTTTTAATAAGTTTAAAATTGTGACAAAATCATCAGTAGGATAAGAATTGTAACTAAAGGAAGATGATTAGGAAGAAAAGAAGGAGGACTAGAAGGGAATAATAGTGGGAATATAATAACGAGTGAAGTCTTATTAGAGGGATGAGAAGAATAAGAGAGATGGATTGGTCGAGAAGGATAAAAGTATTAGAAAGAAAATGAAGGATAGGATGAGGAAGACAATAAGCATGATGAGAAGGATGAGAAGGGTTTGTAGGATGAAAGGAAGAAGGATGTGTTGGCCGGATGAGTAGGAAAAGAGTAAATAGAAAGATAAAACAGATGAGAAGGATAAGAAGGATGTGTACGATGAAAGGAATAGGAAGGATGTGTTGACCGGATGAGTAGGAAAAGAATGAAGAGAAGGATAAAACAGATGAGAAGGATGAGAAGGATGAAATTGAAAAGAAGGGTGTGTTGGATGAAAGGAATAGGAAGGATGTGTTGGCCGGATGAGTAGGAAAAAGAATGAAGAGAAGGATAAAACAGATGAGAAGGATACTCTTATCCTTCTCATCTGTTGATGAGAAGAAAAAGAAGGATGAAAATAATAAAAAGGATGAAAATAAATGAGATGGTTGAAACGGAGAAAATGGATCAGGATGAGAAGGAGAAAAATAATGAGAAGGGTGAGACGGAGAAAAAGGATCAGGATGAGAAGGAGAAAAATAATGAGAAGGTTGAGAAGGAGAAAAAGGATTAGGATGAGAAGGAGAAAAATAATGAGAAGGTTGAGACGGAGAAAAAGGATTAGGATGAGAAGGAGAAAAATAATGAGAAGGTATGAATATATACATAAAGGTATTAAAAAATAAGCAGCACTAAAATTCACCCACTTTAATTCACTCAGTTAAGTAATGAGACACACCCCATTCCATTGACCTATAACAGCTTTCAATACATACTAAATTTGTAATCTATGAGCCCCCAGCCCCCCTCGCACCCTTTACAGCTGACCCTTTAAAGGGAGCTCAATACAAAACCCATTAACCCTCCCCCTTTGCACAGAAATTCCCAGGGCTGACTGACCCTTTAAAAAGTTAGGCACGTTCCTACAATTAACCATCCTAGAGAATACCACTGGCTTCATTATCCAGCATGGATTAGTGGCTTTTTACTGTCTCTTTTCACGCAAGGGGTGCGTACCAGAAAATGCGCTTTAATGTGCAAAAATGCGCCCATTGTTCCGAACTTAACAAAAAGAGTGAATAACTAGGGTTACTGTCAACAATGCAAGTTTTTGCAACTCAGCGGTTTATGTGTTTATTCAGTTTTTGTTGCAATTAAATGGCAGGATTTGTATTCAGGAGGAGAGAGGGTCAATTATTCCCCTTTAATCACTAGTTTATTGGATTTCGGAGGCATTTACACATTTTTTTACAATAATTGTTAGACAAATAATTGTAGCACCATTCCTCGAGCAAGATAGCCTTGTGTAAGAAGTTTGAGTAAAACTATCTAGATTTGTTGTTATAAAGTTAGTAGGATAATGTGGAGCTAACTAGAGTAGTGTGGAGCTAAGTAAAGTAATGTGGAACTAAGTAGAGAAGTGTGGAGCTAAGTAGAGTAGTGTGGAGCTATGTAGAGTAGTGTGGAGCTAAGTAGAGTAGTGTGGAGCTAAGTAGAGTAGTGTGGAGCTAAGTAGAGTACTGTGGAACTAAGTAGAGTAGTGTGGAACTAAGTAGAGTAGTGTGGAGCTAAGTAGAGTAGTGTGGAGCTAAGTAGAGTAGTATGGAGCTAAGTATATTAGTGTAGAGCTAAGTAGAGTATTGTGGAGCTAAGTAGAGTAGTGTGGAGCTAAGTAGAGTAGTGTGGAGCTAGGTAGAGTAGTGCGGAGCTAAGTAGAGTAGTGTGAAGCTAAGTATATTAGTGTGAAGCTAAGTAGAGTAGTGTGAAGCTAAGTAGAGTAGTGCGGAGCTAAGTAGAGTAGTATGGAGCTAAGTATATTAGTGTGAAGCTAAGTAGAGTAGTGTGAAGCTAAGTGGAGTAGTGTGGAGCTAAGAAGAGTACTGTGGAACTAAGTAGAGTAGTGTGGAGCTAAGTAGAGTATTGTGGAGCTAAGTAGAGTAGTGTGGAGCTAAGTAGGGTTACTGAGCTGACTTTGATTCTAGGAAGGGATTAGTTAGGATACTATTACCAATAATCTCGGTCCCGCCCTCGGAGATTTCTTCTGCAAAACTCAAACAACGCCGACTTCAAAATTTGGAGATATATTAACAGAAAATTGCCGGGCAGACCGAACACGCAAACTTCTGGAAAAAATCATAATTTTCTCCTGAAAATGAAAATCATTGAAATCCGCTAACTAGTAATATATTTCCTAAAATCCCCATTAGCCCCCCCCCCTTCCAATACTTTCCCTCCAAGCCTGATACAAGCATTTTTGATTAGCATTTGAAAAAGACTGGGATTCAATGTTTCCAGAAATGTGTAGAATTGGATTTCTATTTTATTGAATTGAGCTTGGATTAATTCAGTAAATCTGGGACCAGAAAGGGATGCATGGGAACTTTTTTCTCTTCTCACGATAAACCCACAAATAGAGAATGCTTATACCCCCCCCTTTAACCCCCTCTTTAACCCCCCTCCCCCACGCATCCATTCAATGCGTCCTAAGGGAACATTTGAATATGCACAATAGTTTGGTATTTATATACTTAGGTGCATCCGGGGAAAAAAAGAAAATTTAGATTTTTAACTTTTTCTAAAGAAATGGGAAATCTTAAAACTTTTTTATCTGTTCTAAAAATTTATCCTTCAAAGCCCACAGGAGAAAATATTTTGTCAAAAAAGTATATGTAAATTGGTATATGCATATGTATACGGGTGTATACGGTGGCAGATGGGTTTATGTACTTCTCATCCTCCTCCCATACATGAGAACCTGTGAGAACCTAGACTCAACCCTTGTTTATCAGGGTATAATTGAAGAGTAGGAGGAGCAGGATTGAGTTATCATTGAACCAGCGAGAGAAGGAAGAGTAGGATTGAGTTATTGTTATTTGTTATATCAGTAAGAGTAGCAGGAGTAGGATTGAACTATTATTATAAAAGTAAGAGTATGAGAAGTAGGATTGAACTATTATTATACTAGTAAGAGTAGGAGGAGTAGGATTGAACTATTATTATACTAGTAAGAGTAGGAGGAGTAGGATTGAACTATTATTATACTAGTAAGAGTAGGAGAAGTGGGATAAGACTAAGAGTATAAAGAGTAGGAGTTATTGCTATACTATAAGTAAAAGTATAAAGAGTATTTATCTACTTATAATAGGAGAAAAGGATAGAAAACGGAAGGATTATAGGTGCATGGATCAAAGTAAAAATTAAGCAAAAATAATAAATCAAGGAATTTAATGAAAATAAAAAAGAAAAATGTTAATGCGTAGCCCACAAAGGGTGATGGGAAAGGGGTGTGAGGAGCACGTGTTTAAGACCGGACAACGGTCAAACAATGAACGTGTGTTGAACACAATGCACTATATACATATGAATGTATAGCTAGTAACCATAGACAGTTTAGACACAATTTACTTTCATCAATACATATGCGGACACCGACAAATAGAGGACTCGAGGGGAGGAACTAGAGGGGTCAAATATGAGGGGGGGGGTCAAATATGAGGGAGGAGGGGGTCGAATATAGGTTGGAGTTATGAGAGGGGGGCAGGGGGGGGGAGGGTTTCGGAGATTCTGAAATTGTCACCATTTTGCTTAATTAGATTTTGTTTGGGTCATTATCAATAAAATATTATTAAGTAAACTGCACTTGCACAGAGAGTCAGTCCCAACCAATTCAAGATTATGTTCATCATTAATATATCTGGAACCAGGTTTCCAGTTTTGGAACTTTTTATGGTTTCTTTTATTTGTCAACAATTTCCCTTCATATAATCATTAAGCAATCTGAGATTTCAATTAATTTTGTTTTTATCGGTAGATTTCCCAAAATTTAAGAATCGAATTTTTAGGCAAAACCTTTTCAAAAACCTTTCATTGGATTATTATAGTCCCACAAAAAAATCCTCGAATATTAAAGGTATTTAAAGAATCTTTAGTATTGTTTCAATATTTTAACAAAAACTCTTGATTAATTATTTGAAATTAAATATTAAATCTATTTGAAAAGTTTTCTATTTTAAACTAATATTATTTTCTATGAATGGATTCACTAGCTTCACTATTAAATGATGAATCAAAATGGATTACGTGGCACTGGGAATTCATATCATCAAACTAAACAATTTGGAGGGTGAGAGGGAGGACAGAGACCATTTATATGTCGTCTTCTAAATTAGTTATTTTCATCTCAATTCTAGCAACAAACAGAATAATAAATATTCTTCCTGTCTTCCCCTTGTTTCCTTCCTGTCCGCCCCTTGCATCCTTCCTTTCTCCCCTTGTATCCTGCCTGTCTTCCCCTTGTATCCCTCTTGTCTTTTCCTTGTATCCTTCCTGTTTTTTCCTTGTATCCTTGATGTCTTTTCCTTGTATCCTTGATGTCTTTCCTGTGTATCCTTCCTGTTTTTCCCTTGTATCCTTCCTATCCTTTCCTTGTATCCTTTGTGTCTTTCCCTTGTATCCTTCCTGTTTTTCCCTTGTATCCTTGATGTCTTTCCCTTGTATCCTTC